CTGGTCGCGCGAGGCGGCCAAGGCCGCCCGCCTCGAGGGCAAGACACTGGGCAACCTCTCCGACCACGGTCCCATCGGCACCCACCTCAGCTGGCTCTACCGCCGCCAGGAATTCAAGTTCTACTGGGACCCCTACCACGCGCCCTTTATGCCCCACCTCAACCAGGGCTGGTATGCCACGACGCGCCTCTGCCTCGACCCCAAGTCGCCCGAGTACGCAAGGTTCACAAACCCACCAATTCCCAGGTACCAGGATGTGGAGCCCTACTCCAAGGTCATCGCCTACGACGGCTGCGCGGCCATGGGCGCCGTCGGCGACGACGTCATGGAGGCCATGGGCATCATGCGGGCCGACGCGGTGCCGGCGTACAACCAGCACCGGCATCGCATCTTTGGCCGCGGCCGCGACGACGAGGGCAACGAGGACCCCACGGACATTGGCGGCATCGACGGGCGCGCGCTCGCCGACACGTTCCAGGTCTTTTTCTACGGCGCGCTGCGCGCGACAAAGGACTTTGCCGCGCAGCTGATCGACCCCAGGAAGGTGGAGCACAAGAAGGAGGACTCCAACACGATGATCCCGCTCAAGGTGTTTAAGCAGCAGATCCCGCACATTCTGAAGCTCAGCGAGATGAAGGCGAGGCTGAAGGATATGAAGCAGCAGCTCAAGGAGATGAAGGAGGCTGGGGATATAGGGGAGGCGGTGGCGGCGGCAGAGACGAAACGGCTGGAGGAGGAGATTGCGGCGTATGAAAAGGCCGAGTTCACGTGTCCGGTGGAGGGGGTGGAGAGGACGTTTCCCAATGTTCCGCCACCGAAGCTGTACCCGTACTCGTTGCTGTTTGAGGAGGCGGTCGGTAAGACCACCGAAGGGAGTGGGGGAGGGTAAATGCGGGCGCGGAAGGGGCAAGTAGCTAGGTAGGTAGTACATGTATTGCCCGGAAGGAAGGCCTCTTTTTCGGTAACGGTGGTGGTGAGAGGAGGTTATGAGAAAGGACATGTCATGAGTTTAGACTGGCGTCATGGTTTTCATATGTGTTTAGGTTTACGGTTTCTTGGAGAACTCGGAGTAATGAAGTGCTGTTGGTGGATATGAGCAAGTTGTGAGATGAGACAATGCTGAGCTTCCAGACTTGGACAGGGAACATTTGCAAATTTGTATATTCCTGTTTGAAATCAACCACCCATCGCCATACAAGCTGAGCCCTATGCCATGGACCACGCCCCGTGGGCGCGGTACGCCTCGTCGCCCTTCTTCCGCTCGTCCTCGATAATGTCGTGCACCGACTTGGCGGCGCCGGCGCCGTCGCCGTGGTACTTTTCCGCCAGCTCGATGCACCGCAGGTTGGCCGCCAGCTTGTTCATCGTCTCCATCCACTCCTCCGTCTTCTCGCTGTCGTGCACGATGCCGCCGCCCGCCTGCAGGTACGCCACCTCGTCCTTGACCAGCATGGTGCGGATGGCGATGCACGTGTCCATCTGGCCCTCGTCGTACAGGAAGGGCTCCTCCTCGCCGCCCGCGGGGTTCCCGGGCCGCACCACGTCGAACGCGAACCACCCCGCCGCGCCGGCGTAGATGCCGCGCTTCTCGCCCTCGAGGTCGTAGATGAGCTCCATGGCGCGGATCTTGGGCGCGCCCGAGACGGTGCCGGCGGGGAAGATGGAGCGCATCGCGTCCCAGCGCGTGCAGCCGGGGCGGAGCAGGCCCGAGACCTCGGACGTGATGTGCTGGACGTGGGAGAAGCGGTCGATGCGCATGAGGCGGTCGACGCGGACGGTGGAGGGGTGGCACACGCGGTTGACGTCGTTGCGCGCGAGGTCGACGAGCATGACGTGCTCGGCGCGGTCCTTGGTGGACGCGAGGAGCTCGGCGGCGAGGAGCTCGTCCTCGGCCGGGTTGGCGCCGCGCCGGATGGTGCCGGCGATGGCGTGGTTGACGATGCGCGGGCGCGAGCGGGCCTCGGACGCGGTGTAGCCGAAGCGGGGGTCGGCGGGGAGCGGGGCGTAGCCGTCCGTCTTCATGAGGCACTCGGGGGAGGCGCCGACGATGTGGAAGGCGGAGCACGAGAGGAAGAAGAGGTAGGGCGAGGGGTTGAGGGTGCGCAGGGTGCGGTAGATGTTGAAGGGGTGGAGGCTGGTGCTGCGCGAGAAGCGCTGCGAGGGCACGGCCTGGATGATGTCGCCCTTGACGATGTGCTTCTTGAGGTCCGTGACGAAGGACTCGTAGCCGTGGCGGCCGACGTTGGACGAGTACTGCTGCTCCGAGGCGGGCTTGCTGGGGTTCCGTGGGGGGAGGGGCGTCTCGGGGTTGAGGATGACGCCGAGGGCGGTCCGGATGGTGGCGCAGGCTTCGTCGTAGGGCCCCTGGAAGTCGGCGGCCGGGTCCTGGGGCAGCTTGACGTGGGTGATGACGGTGAAGGTGCCATAGAAGTGGTCAAAGGCGACGATGGTGTCAAAGATCATGAATAGGGCCTCGGGGATGTGGAGGTTGTCCTTGAGATCGCGGGCGGTCCGGGGCTCAAAGTACTTGATGCAGTCGTACGAGATGTAGCCGACGGCACCGCCGGTGAGGCTGGGTAGCTTGAGGGAGGGGATGCTCAGCACGCGGTCCTCGGCGAGCTGGGCCTCGAGGGCGCGCATGGGGTCACCCTCGACATCGTACCCGGGGCCGGTGGCGAGCACCTTTCGGGGATCTGCAGGTGTCACGGGTCAGGGGAGGGGCTGCAAGGGATGACTGACGCCCGGGCGGTACTCACTCGCTCCGATGAAGCTGTAGCGGCCGACGGTCTCGGTGCTGCCGGTAGCGCTCTCGAGGAGGAATGAGTACTCGGCGGTGGACCCGTTGGAGAGCTTGAGGTAGATGGCCGAGGGGGTCAGGAGATCGGCCGGCAGCGTGATGCACACGGGCAGCAGCGTCGGGCGCGGGGTCGCCTCGCGCGTCTGCTCGTAGAGCTTCTTTGCCTCGTCGACCGGCGGCCGGATGTCCAGCTTGGCCGAGAGGTCCATGGGGACGATGAGCATGGTGATGGCTGCTAAAATAAAAAAAAGGAGAATCTCTGTTCAATTGACGGCCAATTGCCCCAGCGCCACTGCCCGTTTGGACTGCCCGTCACTCGTCACGCAAGGTGCCACCGTATGCTTTTCACCGCCCGTCGTTGATTCGTGACTCACGGGTAGTGGGGTCGGGTGTTTTCGCGGCCAGCGGCAGTGGTGGGGTTGCGCAGCGATAAGATAAGATTTGGGAGAGGGAATGCAGTGCACTGAAGATCAAACTTGAAGTTTTGTTTTCTTAACAACACCGACAAAGAACAGACGCTTGCTATTCAGCTCTCCTTGCGGAATTGGTAGGTATTTGGTATCAATTTGGGACTGGCCGTCTTGCCTTATGGTTCAACCGCCCACCAACAATTCTCCATTCCCCCCCTTTGCGCCTGTATCCGTACTCCGTACAGCACCCCATCCCCTGTCGCGCCCCTGAAGCCAAGCAGCAACCGCGCAACACCAACACCAACACCACGACACCTCAACGCCAACTCCCATCATCATAATCCATACACATCCATTCAATCATTACAAAACCCGTCACCCCTCAATACCTCGAATGACTCCGACTCCGACTCCTCCGCTCCTCATACCGATACGGACTCTGCCCCCTCACCACCGCCACCGGCCTCACCTCCCTGACCTCCCTGACCTCCCCCCTGCTCGCGCTCCGATGCCTTGAATGCGAATGATGGCGGTGGTGGTGATGATGCCCGCCGCTGCTCCGTCTCGAGTGCGACCGGCGCGGCTCCCTCGACCGGCTCCGCGTCGCCGGCGACGGCTGGCTGCCGCCCACGCCGTCGTACCACGCGCGGCCGCCCGGGTTCGGCGGCGAGTTGGGCGGCGCCCCGAGGTTGCTGCACGACCGGAAGATCCAGATGAGCAGGAGCAGCCCGACGATGGAGCCGATGACGATGCCGGCGATGGCGCCGCCCGTGAGGGTCTTGGCGTCGGTGGGCTCGTCGTCGCCGTCCCCCGAGGATGAGCCGGTGGTGCTGTCGGTGACGATGACCTGGCGCCGGAGGAGGGTGGTGGTTGTCTCGACGGCGGCGCGGTGGAGGAGCGCGGTGGCGCTGTGGAGGGTGATGGGCGCCATGTTGGTGGGTCCCGTCCGTGGGAAGGGTGGTTTGGACTTGGGATTTTGGTCGAGACACGCGGAGAGTGGTGGTCGACGACGGCGATGGTCTGGATGATTCCCGTGAGACGAGCCTGGATGATCATCGTGGACAAGACGCAAAGGGCGAGGCCGGCTTTATACGAGCCTTGCCGGCGTCGCAGTTGGCAGCGTCAGTGACGCCATGATACATGATGGGGGGGGTGAAGTGGTAGCGAAAGTGGTTAGCCTGGCGATTTACAGGGGGCGTAACTGGCGCGAGTCACGATGATCGTCCCGGAGTTGCTGGTGTGGGAGACCCACACGGATTCCCAACCTCTAGCGGTGATCTTTTCAACAGGTTCTCGTTCTCGAACCTCACCGACCAAGATCAACTTGAGGACGCACAAATCATCTCCAACCCGTGGTTTCTCCTTTTTCTCCGGGCAATCGGGGAATGGACACATGGTCAGCATGACTATCAGGAATGTTGGTCAGGTGCGTCTGACTGGCCTGAGCCACTAACAGTGAAGATAGCAAAATTTGGATATGCACGATGATGTCATAACCGAGCCTTTCCTCTCTCGCCCTGGAAGCCATTCCCAACCGAGCACGTGCGCGGTGCTCCTGGCAACGTCTGCGATCAGTGCTCACGAGAAAACATTACCCCTTTTTTATCCAAACCATTCCCTTGGCCGGTTTTCCAGAGCTGCCAGGGCAAAACACGAAACAGAGGCCGCACCACCTCACCACCAGTGACACCGCCATGATCCCAGAGGGTATCCCCCTATCGACTCCACAACACCCCACTATGTGGGAAATGCAAAAAAAATGAGAAGGAATGAACCATTCTCCAAGCATGAAATGATCGTACACACTGTGCTCGATCTGTGGACCTTCAGTGTGTTAGACTGACGTGATAACCAACTACACCATACGACCGGATTTGTTTCTTGATGGAATGCCAGTATCAGAAATGTCCTTCATCCCCCTTCCCTCCGTGGAAGGTGCTGCAAAAGAAATGCAAAAATACATACAACACCAGGGATTCGCTGGTCGTCACCGACCCAACTACTAGTCTGGCGGTCACTGACTTATCTATGGGAGAGCGGACGGGATCCCGAGCTTTCCAGTGCCTGTGGTCGTATGTGCTAGGTGCTTACAGAATGAATGCTTTTATGCGAACGCGGATAGATGGTATTGACCGAGGTGCGCCAACGAACTTTGGGTCGGATGCAGTCCAAGGATGCCAATGCATGCAGGGCGCAGAGGCTGAGGAACGTCGCGTGGTTTAGATATGGCACATGTAATGCCGCCAATACAAGACATTTCATTTGCATGACACTGGGATCAGAAATAAATGTTTATGGTTTTTATTCAGGCAAGCCAAATATGGCACTCTGCGCTCCCCACTCATGGCGGTGGAAAAGAAGCTCTAAATCCTTCCTTGGACCCAGTTCGCCTTCCAGCCAGCATATTTCTGGCTTGACATGGCAAGGTGGCACTGCAATGGCCCTGAACCGAACAGTAAGAAAACAGAAGAGGAAGTACAAGTCAAAGAACGCTCAAAACAAAGAACAAAAAAGGAAAAAGCAGTCGGGAGATGATCCCGACCTTCATCGCAGCAACCACTGCACCCATTTTGCCCACCTCGTAGCCGCTGTCTATCCGAAAGCACCCTCGCAATGCCCATCCGCCCAAGCCACGCAGAAAGCCCCCTCACCGGAGCCCGTGCTGTGACTTCTCGTGGCGCTTGATGTTATCGCCACGCCCAACCCTGTCGCAGACGCGGCACTTTCGCGTCTCCGACTTGGCCGTCAGCACCTTGTGGCGGCTCTCCATGTGCCGATCGAGCCCGCGCTGGTCCGTATGAGCCTTGCCGCAGACCGTGCAGAGGAAGCGCTTGTTGTGGGCGCGACGGTGCTTCTGCAGGTCCGAGGCGGTGCTGAAACCCCGGGAGCAGCTGGGGTCCGGACATGCCAGCGAGTTGGGCGGCGTGGAGCAGGATCCAGGGCTGGTCGCAGTCGAGGACGGGCTCTGGCTATTGGCTGTGCTGAGGGCCGGGGGGCTTGAGAGGTGGTATTCGAGGGGGAAGGCGGCAGGGGGGGAGTTGTGGAAGGCAGGGAACATGGCCGGTTCCGGGGAGGCGAGGAATGACTCGGCTGGAGAGGGGAGGAACAGCTCGACAGGGGAGGGGTTGGGGTTGGGTTGTGACGGGACCCAGAGGCCGGTTTCCAGATCGAAGTAGGCGTCGCCGTCGTATATCACCGAGACGGGGGAGGCGGATGATGACGCGTCCAGTGCCGGAACGGTTGGCAGCTGCATGTCGAGGGGGGAGAAGATGATATCGAAGAGGACGGGGTCGAGTGGTGCGATGAAGGTCGGGGAGGTGTGGGGGAAGGGCGGTTCCATGCACCGCTCCGACGGCTCCTCCACGGGGGAGAAACCGTCGATGGGGTCTTGGATGTGATATTGGTTGGACGACATGGTCGTCGAGTTTTGTGTGGCTTTTGTTGTTGATCGGGCGGAGGAGTCCACCGAGTTGGATCAAGGTTGTTCTAGTCGATGTTGGCGGTGGCAGTGTTTCTTGTGTTGGCAGGCGGCGGGTGAGCTGGTGTGAGGCTTCAGATGAAGAACAGTTTTTTGACGTATTCTAGGTCAGGAAGGACTTGTCGTCCAAGGGCGCCGTCCGCACCTAAACCGCCATGCCAAGGGGGTGTAGTAGTTGCCAAACTTGGTTTGGAGAACTCCAAGCTAGGTTTGGACAACTGCCAGTTGACCGATGTCGAAGACTGCAAGATCTCGTAGAGGGAATTGCCTTCGAAAGGAAAGCTCGGATCTCGTCCGAGCCCTGCAAGCCGCAGCAAAGATTGCACATGGCTTCAACAGCTGAAGCCAGGAGAAGGAGGTCTGCTGCAGCTGTGCCAGCAAGCTCGGCCAACGTGATCATGGCGCCATTAGATCGCTCTGGAACAAATTTCGTTCGTTGCTCGAACGGGTTCTCGTCGTCGAGGAGAGGGTTTGGAATGGCGCGGCTCTCGGAGAGAGCGAGACCAAGGGAGTCCATATTGGCCGTGCGTGGAGGGGGCTGGACATGCGAATCAGGTTCGCTGTGTCCATTGTGACCGAAGACTTGAGAAGGGACCCCTTGAACGAGATGGACGAGAGAAGGATCGAGAAAGGCGTTGCCACTACTCCAGGAGAAGGAGAACACAGGAATGTCGTCGGTATCGAGCGTGTAGTTGTCGTCCCTCGGTGTCGGGACGCCGAGGAGGAAATGATCGCGTCGGTCCCTCCGGTCGTCGAGGTCGGCGGCCATGGCAAACGGGCGCCAAGTGTCGTGAGGGCGGTGGCCGCGGGGGTGGTCGTCGTCGTCCAGGATGGAAACGTTCTCCGTGTCCATGATAGAAAAGTGGTCGAGATGGTGATCCTCACCAACATCAACAGAGTCAAAAGGACCTCCAAAAAGGAGATTCCCGACCAAGTCAACAGGGGGCGGATTGGATTTGGCTGCAGCGGTACCAGTGGTACAGGGCGGCCTGACAGGATGCATTGGCGAAAAGGTCATTGCAGTGGGTGATGGCGTGCACAATGAGGGTATTCAGACGAAAAAGGGTTGTGGTGGGAAGGTTGGTGAGGGTGAGGGTGAGGGTGAAGAGAGGAAGAGGCGTGGTTGACGCGACAAGAGTCATTCCCCGGATTATAAGGCACACCAGCGCTGAACGCCGCCAAGCGATGACCCCTGCTGAGCCCCACAATTGAGGACGGACGGAATTTGTGGCTCAGCCCTGGCTCCCTCCACCTGCAATCCGGAAATGGTTTGTTTGTTAGCGCGAGACATTTGGAACCGCGGCGTCCAAAGTTGAAAAATGGCCTTGGAGATGGAACTGGACACCTCCTTTTGCCAACCAGACTTGGAAATAGAACTGGATAGGCCCTGAAGCTGGGATTGCAGACTTCTCATCATGTAGGAGATCTCTGACTTCCTTGGTAGTAGGTCTTGTGCTAACAAAAAGCCCAGGGCTGGAGTGCATCGGCTCCCTCCACATCCAATGCCAAGCCGGTCCTGAGTCGTGGCAGTGCCGCCCCACCGATGCAAGGAACTGCTGGACCCTGCACGTCTTTCCGGAATTGACACGTGACACCCTCAACGACCACCAAACCTCCAACAACGACATCTACAACATCGACACTCTCGGACAATTGGTTAGCATATGACAATCTAATTTTTATTTTGCTGACCAAAAGCATCTCTAGCGCTGAGGTTCTAAGCTCTATCTAAAAAAGCAAGCTTACCCTGGGTAAACCACCCCCTTGACGACCACCCCCGAATGTGTCCCACCGGCCCGCCCACGCTGGATTGTCAGTACAAACCATCCTGCACCTCCTGTCCCCCCTCAGTTGCTTCCCATCTCCGCGATCAATGCCTCGAGCTCTTCCTCGGTACCGATAAAGACGTCACCCGCTGTAAACCCCGGGAGCCTCTGGAGCGGCTCCAACGCCAAGTCCCTCGTCGCCACCCCGGAGCACCCAGCCGCCTCAATCGACTCCTTCAACTCATCAGTAATCAAGGAAGCCTTTTCAGTGTCCGCCTCCCTCATCTTGTCCACGTCCTTCTTCAAGGTTAAAGCCATTTCTTTCAACTTCGCCTCCTCCAACAAGCTCTCCATGACCTCCGTCATGTAACCGTCGAGCTTCACACTTTCCATGAACTTCACCCTCTTTTTCGTGGTCACATCTTTCTTGTCCCCCCCCAGCGTTTTCTCCCTGGAAACCTTTGCCGAGCGATGCCGCTTCTCCAAGACCTTCCTCCGCTTCTCCCAAGCGATGGACTTTTCCGAGCGGCCATCAGGACGCCTTCGAGAACCCGTTTGTCAGTACCACAACAGAGAACAAGGGGGTAGAGCGCAACATACTTCTCACCCGACATATCCCCGCCATTCCCCAAGCCAGTCTCTGGAGAGGGACTTCGCCTGCACCCCTGGAAAAAGCGCTGGTCACCCATCTGACTGCGCACGGCAAACAGGCACCGGAAGCCGACCCCCACCGAGCGTCTCGATGCAAACCGCCACGGCAAAGCCGACTCCAACTTCTCCCGGTACCTGGCCACAAGCGCCGAACGCTTCTCTCCTTCCCTGCCATCTCCCGGCTTCGAGAGCACCGGCGCCATTTCAAGCATCATCCAGTTGATGACGCTCTGGACACCCCTGGGGAGTGCCAGCTCATCCACCGTCTCCTTGACCAAAAACGCCCGGGCGTACGGCGCCACCGCCGCCTCCCACGCCTCGACCGGCTCCATGGGCATAAACGCCTCGGCGCCCAACACCTCCTGGATTTTTCGGGACCCCAGCCAATCGTTCCACGGGCCCTCCTCCTCCACCGCTTCCCTGAAGAGAGCGTATGGTAGTGAATCCGGGAGCGGCACCTGCACCGCTAGCACCCCGTCCTCAAGCATCCCATCCAGAATCCTCGCCATGTGGTACAGGCGCGCCGCCCTCGAGAACCCCTGCAGGGTGTCCATGCACACCACCAGCTCCTCATTGTCGGGCTCCCACTCGGAGATGCACTTCATCTGAAACTTGAGCTCGCCAGGATAGCCCATGCTCATAATCCGGTCGGCAACGGCGAGGGAAGCCTCGTAAAGCTGTCTGCTGTACTCCCAACCGTAGATGGCGCAGTCGGGCTTGAAGAATTTCAAGATAGCTTTGGTGCTAGCCCCGTCCCTAGATCCCAGGATAGAAACGAAGTCGGGCTGGAGATTCTTGATATGGCCCATGAGGCGGATCATGAGCAGTTGCGTCCACCCGCAGTTGTGGCGGAGCCCCGCCCAGTGGACCAGGTTTCCCACAACCCACTTCCGCGAGCTGTCAAGGGCCATCTCGTCGCTGGGCTTCATAACAGGCGGCTCCTTGTAGCACGGTGGCACGTCTCCTACACCATCG